TTGGTAAGGTTGGCTAAGGGTTTATCAATTTTATTTATTCTTTCCCAAAACCAACTCTTTGATTCATTAATTTTTTGTATCATTCTCTTAGTCTCCATTGAATTGATTTCTGCTCTGATCTTTATAATTTCCTCTCTTATATGAGCTTTGGGTTTGTTATGCTCTTCTTTTCCTAGGAGCTTGAGGTTCTGCATTAGGTTATTTATTTGAATTCTCACTGTTTTCCTAATATGGGCATTGACTGCTATGAATTTCTCACATAGAACTGCTTTCATTGTGTCCCTTAGATTCCTGTATGTTGTACTGGCATATCATTTACTTGTAGAAACTGTCTAACTTTTTCCTTAATTTCCTCTGTGACTCATTGGTTGCTCAGGAGGGTGTTATTTAATTTCCATGTATTTGTGGGAGTTTTGGAGTTTCTTATGTCATTGATCTCCAATTTTATTGCACTGTGGTCTGATAATACATAGGGGGTAACTTCAATTCTTTTACATTTACTTAGACATGTCCTATGAGCTAGCATGTGGTCTATTTTAGAGAATGTGCAGCTGAAAAGAATGTGTATTCTGATTTTGTGGGGTGGAACACTCTGTAAACATCTATTAAGTCCATTTATTCAATAGCTTGGTTCAATTCTAAAATTTCCTTGTTAATTTTTTGTCTAGATGATCTGTCTAATTGTGATAAAGGGGTATTGAGATCCCCCACTACAATTCTAGTAGAGCTTATTTGGTTTTTCATGTCTGTTAATATTTGTTTTGTATAGTTGGGGGCATTTGTATTTGGTGCATATATATTCATGGTTATCATCTTTTCCTCTTGGATTGTTCCCTTCACAAGGATGTAGTGACCATCTTTGTCTCTCAATTAATTTCATTTTGAAATCTAGTTTGTCTGCAAATAGGATTGCTACCCCTGCTTTTTTATGGGTTCCTGTGGAGAACTGTTTTCCATCCTTTTACTTTCAGTCTATGTATTTCTTTTTGAGTTAAGTGTGTTTCTTGTGTACAGCATATTGTTGGTGGGAGTGCAGACTGGTGCAACAACTGTGGAAATCAGTATGGAGATACCTCAAAGAACTAGGACTAGGGGTCCCATTCGGCCCAGCTATCCTCCTGCTGGATATCTTCCCAAAAGAATTAAAAGAATCATACCACAGCGATATATGTGCACCCATGTTTGTAGCTGCACAGTTTATAATAGTGAAAGCTTGGAAACAGCCCAAGTGCCCATCAACTGGAAACTGGATAAAGAAGATGTGGGGTTTTTTTTCATAAAATGGAGTACTACTCAGACATAAAGAACGAGAAACTAGAGACATTTATAGCTAAATGGATGCATATTGAAACCATCCTCATAAGTGAAATAAATAGGACACACATGTGTAAATACCAAATAGTTTCTCTAGTGTGAGAAACTGAAAGTGTAATTAAGGATACACACAGATGAAATGGCCTAATAACATATTTCTCGGATTGTGTTTCCATCATGTGTCATATGACTGTATCGAAATTTAAATTAGGGAGAAGTTTAGCTTATGTGGAGTCTGCTAACTAACTGGAAATTTTTTTCCAGATCACTATTTGTTCAGTGTTGGTTTTGGGGACCGTTCTGAAACAAATCACATCCTCTAGTGTCTTGTTGATGCTTGAGATGCTTTTTTAAGTTATATGGAAAAATGTTTAAGTGATTTTCAGTTTTGTTTTGGTTGAGTTCTACTGTATTTGAATATTATTGTATTTTTTTCTCCTTACATTGTTCTTCTTTGAATGGTTTTAATTTTTTGTATGTGTGTGTGTTTGATAATAAAGTTATTTTAAATTTTTTTTAGAAAAACCACTAGAAGAATGAAAGGAATACATCAAGGTTTCAGGATATAAACTTAACACAAAAATCTACTCAACTTCTATATATTTAGTAATAAATATTTGTAAGTCAAAATTACAAGTCAGCTCTGCAGCTATCGTTGAGCCATGGGCATCTCCGGGGACAACTAGCACAAGCCCTGCACCACAAGCAAGCCCTGCCACCAGAAGCTGAAGCGCAAACTGGGATGCACCACTGTCCACACTAAGATTGGCCCCCACCACACACTGTCAGTCCAGGTGCCAGGAGACAAGGAGAAGTACGTGGCCTGAGGACTACTGGTGTTGTCCACAGTGTATCCAGCAAGGAGTGGCCTGCACCTCACCTGGTGAAGAACTGCGCTGTGCTGACAGAGCACCCTAGGGACAGCAGTCCCACCCCACCTTGCATGGCCCCGTGCCACAAAAAGGGGGCCATGCTGACTTCTGAGGAGGAAGAGATTTTAAACAAAAAACGATGAAAGAAAATTCAAAAGAAATGTGAGGAAAAAGGGAAAAGGACCCCAAAATCAGCTGTTCTGGAGGGCCAGTTCCAGTGGGTCAAGCTTCTCATGCACACTGCTTCCATGTAATCCCAGCACTCCGGGGGGCTGAGGCAGGAGGACTACAAGTTTGAGCTCACTTTGGGCAAATTAGAGACTTAATGATTTAGCAAGACCCTGTCTCAAAATAAAAAGTAATAATGGATCCATCAGATGGAGGAATAGGGAGGGGAGCGAATAGAAATGGAAAAAGGAATTAAGATGTGTTATGTACTCATGCCAACTCCACACATGGAATGTAAACATTCATCTACCCAAAATATTCCCCTTCCTCCTCATAACCAAACCCTTATCCTACCACAGACTCTAGAAACCATGGATCTCTTTTCCATGTTTTTATTTTCTCTCTTCCAGAATTAGTAGTATACAGTGTGTAAAAGTAAATAAATAACAAAAAAGGCTGAGTTCAACTGAGTTCAAGCCCCAGTACAAACAAAGACTGGGCCAGTATGGCTGAGCAGATGCCTCTGTGCCAGGAGTCAAGAAACTGGAGTCAGAGGTGAGGAAAACCAATTCCCAGAAAGGCAAATGAATCCCCTCCTGCCTTAGGTCATATAATAATAAGGGGATATATATATATATATATACACACACATTGGAACACTTCTACATTGTTGTTGGAAGGGTAAACTACTACTACCACCATGGAAGCCAGCATGGAGAGTCCTCGAAAAAATAAAAATAAAAATTTCATTCGACCCAGCTATTCCCCTTCTAGGTATCTTCCCCAAAGACTTAAAGATATATTACAGTGATACATGCATATCCATGTTTATAGTAACATAACTCACAATAGCTAAATCTTAGAAGCAGCCTTTAAGTCCATCAACACATGAATGGATAAAGAAAATGTGGCATTTATACACAATGAAGGACTCTGTGCCATACAGAAGGATAACCTTGAGTGATTGTAGAAAAATGGATGCATTTTGAGACCATAATGTTAAGTGATGCAAATGAGGCACAGAAGCTTAAATATCACATGATTTCTTATATGAGAAACACAAAATATAAGTAAATTAAAGAGCAACATAAAAGATAGATAATAGGAAGCAGAAGTTAGATCTTTTGCAAAAAGGAAGCAGGTCAAAGGATGAAGGGAAGAGGAAAGGAGAGGAGGGGAGGAAGATTTTTTAAAAAAAGATTGCCCTTCACAAATTCTGACACAGATAAAGTGGGACTGGGTCATTTGTACTCTGCTGGCAGAACTGTAAAAGGATGCAAATTTGGGAAATGGATAAGCAATTTCTTAAATAGCTAAACATACACTTACTATAGGACCCAGATATCACACTTCTAGGTTTTTACCTAAGACAAAAGAAACTTATGTTCACACAACTTGTACACGAACATTCATAGCAGCTTTATTTGTAATTATTCAAAATCTAAAACAATCCATATTTAATTAACAGGTAAACATATAACAAACGAATTGTAGTATGCCTCAAAAGGGACAATCAACATTAAACAAATGATTGATACAAACAACGAGATAGAGATATATGAAACCAAACATAGTTACACAAAGTAAAAAAGTCAGAAAAAAAGACATATTGTATGATTCCATTCATATGGAACCCTCCAGAATGCAAGCTGAAAGGTGATTAGTGGCTCAAGGGGCAGGGAATGATTAATCATTTGTAGTTGTTGACATGCTCATCATAATGTTTACATAATGTTAAACATCAAAATGTTTACATGTTAGCATGTGGGAAATGTTTCAAATTGCATACTTCAAATATGTTCAATTTATTGCATGCCAATCACACAGCAACAATGCTGTTAACAAAAGAAAACATCTCTTGTCTTCCTGGGGATAATACAGAACATATATGTGTGTGTGTGTATATATATATGATTATATATATATATGATTTACTGTTATGTGCATCAAAATAGAAAAGTTTCTTTTACAGTAGAATGGTTTGTGAAGGGAATAGAAGCTCTGAAAATAGAAGAGGTATTTCTAATTCCATCTGTTTGTATTTCTCAATATTTACATACCTGGCTCAGTTTGTTCTTGAATTTAGTGTCTATATTTGGTCTTGTATATTTCTGAATTATAGAATAACATGATAGAGTTGAGGAGAGATTGTCTACAAATAGTTTGTACTTTGGTGGAAAAATTCAATTTTTGCCTCTGGGACACACATTTTGTAATTCTGATAAACACTGTATTAGGCTATTTGGCAAAGAAAAGATGAAAAAATAATAACAGTTTCAGAGATGGATAATGAATTGTGGGTTAGTTCTCAGAAAAGACTATGAAATTGCACATCACTTTCTGGGCCACCAACAACCCCCAGAATATGTGGTATGTGTGTGTCAGTGGTAGAGTTTGGAAATGGAACACAATTAAAAAGCCAATAAGTGAGGCCCATTAAGTGGAGAACATGAGATTCTTGAGCACACAGTAGCCTTTCCTTTGATTGGTCTCGTCACGTTCACTGTTTCTGGGCACATTTCTCCTTTTTTGCCTTCCTCATTTTCATGCAGCTGGGCACGTTGTTCTGCCCTCTCTGTAGTTGCAAAAGTCAGCACCAACATAGAGAAGACTGAGTGTACTAGCTTCCCAAGCTTGGCGATGGGTCAGTTTTTAAAACAGAGGAGGAGAGAAAGGCCTGAAGGTTGGCAAGAAGCTTGGGACAGACTACTCGGAAAACGTATAAATGGGTAAATAGAATCACAGCTTTTGATCTGAAAGTGTCAGGCAGCTGGAGTCCCAGTCTTAGTCTCCAATGCACTGAGTTTTGGACTCTGCTAAGGAGTCTGAAGCTGGCTCATCAATATCAGTTCTCAGAGCTGTTATGGTTTGCTCCGAAGAGATGAAAAATGGTCTAAATTCCAGGAAAAATCCAAAGACCTTCCTTTTTTCTTCCAGCTTCTTCAAATTTATTGTGTCCACAACAGATCTGCTGCCTTCTGACATATAGGGGCCGCAACTAAAATGCAGTTTTCATGGAAAACATCTCCCCGTTGTAAATATGCACAAGTATCTGGAGAATACATATTAGGAAAAGCACCTTGAAGTTTAAACCTATAGTTGGGAACAGAAGAAAAAGTTAGATTAACTGTCACCTTAGCAGTTCACCTACTGTCAGAAACTTAGCCTTGTCTTAAACCTTAACTCAGAAATGAAAATGGGAAGGAAAACTCCAGAAAAGGAGTGAAGGGTCAGTTGGCAAATCCTTGTGGGAGAGAGGTGAGGAAGGAGACTTGTACAAATTCTGCAAGCTTCATTCTGGCAAGAAGAGGACATCATGGAATGCAGCAGTGAATTCAAAGCAGGGTTAGCAAGGAAAAGAAAACTTAGCGCAGGCATCAAAGACAGTAGGAAACTTACAAGTGGGGCCTCAGAGGAGAACCGTCCTCCCAGAGCCATGAATTCCTGGGTTTCTGCAGTCTCAGTCCCATCCAGAATGGGAGATTAGAATGGGAAGTGGCTTCCCGGATGAAATCCTGTGGGGAGTAATATGTCTGAGCTGATGGAATCAATGTAGGAGTTGGGAATCTGGAAGTCAGGTAGCATTACATTCATGAGACTAAAAAAACAAAAAAACAAAAAGGATCTTTGGGACCCCCTTCATGATTGTACGGAAATGTTTACTGAAGCCTAGAATATTGCATAGCCTGTCAATCCAATGTCATGCTTGTGACCAGGCTAGGTTAAAAAAAAAGAACAAAACAGGTATTTTTCACTCTTAAGTGCTCTTCCACCCAGGACCTAATGTAGATTTATTTTACCATTAACCAACACCCCAACCCCTGCCCCCCAGTCATCCATAAGCACTTACCAGATCACCCTTGTTATTAATTTTCAGCAACTGGGCACCCAAAGCTGAGCAGTTCTTGCTACTCTTTTCCCAATTAAACATTCCAGAGGAAAATAAGTAGCAATTTTCTCCATGCCAGATCCAGTCCTGGGGACAAGGTCCTAGGAAGTACAATAGATCTGATCACTGAGTTATGTCTGAGTAGAAGGACTTCTACAACTCTATTTTTTTTTTTTTGGTACTGGAAATCGAACTCAGGACCTTGAGCTTGCGAGGCAGGCTGCAGAACCACTGAGCTAAATCCCTGGCCCCAGGACTTCTACAATTCTTAAGCTGACTTTCCTTCAGTCCTCCCATCTGCATACCATTTCTTCTTAAATGAAAATACAACCACACTCTGAAAATACATAAATAGCCTCAGAATCATTATTTCTCCTTTTTTCTGAAGAAAAAGAAAAAACCCTGATTTTAGTAAACTAAATTTACTTCTCATTTAGTGTTTTACTTCCTCTGTTAAAAAAAGAAGTTGGGGTATCATTTTACAACCTATTATTTTTTAACTTATATTTGGCAGAATGCAAGTGAGAAGTACAGAAGTGGAGGTATAGAAATTGAAACAGGGTCTTCCTTTGTAGTTCAGGCTGGCCTCGAAATTCCTAGGGATTCTCCTGCCCTTACCTCCCAAGGGCTGAGATTACAGCTGTGCGCTACTATGCCCAGCTAAAAATGGATATTTGATAGCTATTTCATCATTAAGAGTAATCTTTATGTATTTTAAAACTTCACATCTTGAATAGGATTTGGTTCCAAAGGAGTGTACTTTCTGTTTTTAGACAAGTGCTGATCAAGACAGTAAATGTGAATTCTACGCAATGTAGATTATTTTCATTAAGAAGTGCTGCAAAATATAAAGTACACATCAGACTTTGAAATTTAAGTTGGAATAAACATAAAATTTCACATTTATAATGGTTAGTATTGAATTGGTATTTCCAATATCTTGGGTTAACTAAAATATTACCAATTAAGATGTTACTAAAATTTGTTTCATCTCCTTCTTTGTCTTTTTTTTGTTTGGGGGGGATTTTTTGGTACCAGGGATTGAACTCAGGGCCTTGCACTTGTGAGGCAGGTGCCTGAACCACTGAGCTAAATCCCCGGCCCCTCTTCTTTGCCTTTTTAAAAAGTGTGATTATGACAAAATTTAATGTTAAATAGTAGCAAACACTGTATTTCTTTTGGACAAATTGGTTCTACAGAGACTATTATATTGGTATGAAAAGAGCATCTCAGTTGCAATAAGATTTCAGGAAATACAGAGATTCTCAGCAGAAAAATTTCCAGGGAATCCAACAAGCCCAACTGCAGGTTTAGGCAAATGGTTTAGACTTGTGCCAATGTCTCCATGTTTATAGATGGTTCCAACAGCCCCAAAATCATCACCATCAACACTGTCACGCACATCTTTATCTTCTCCTTGTGTTAGTAACACTCGGAACCTCTTCAAGAAGCATAGCTAGGGCCGGGGATTTAGCTCAGTGGTTTTGTCACCTGCTGCGCAAGCGCAAGGACCCGACTTCAATCTCCAGTACAAAAAAAAAAAAAAAAAAAAAAAAAAGCAGCACAGCCCTTTAGTCTACACTATCACCAAAATGTGAAAGAAATTAAAATCTTTTAGAGAGTTATATTTTCATTTTGATTGAGTAGACTTTACCAGGAAGGAGAAAGTAAGAGGGCACTGGAAAAAATGATAAAAGTGAATGGGAAAGGTCACACAAAAGGTGGGGCAACATATTTCTTAATTTCTTCAGCTTCATATGTAAAAAATCAATTTTCATACTAAAGAATTAGGCTAGACAAATTGTTCAAACTATGACAAAGCCGAAAAGACACATCTCAAATCATAGTATGTATACACACAATGTATATGTATACTACATACTATTATATATAGTATATAGTATATAGTATGTATTGTATATACATATATATGAATATTCCAAGTTGTATACTATATTATATAAGTATATATAGGATACATACAATATGTTTATATTCTATGATTATTTTATATATGTATATCATGATATACTATATATGTGCATATTATATGATATATACTATATTACACATGCACATTATATGTATATGTTTATAATATATAGTGTATATTATATGATATGTATTGCATATGTATATTATATGATATATACTATGCTATATAGGATTTAACAAATATTATTTATGATGTCCCAGGAACTATTGCAAGTGCTTTACATATATGAACTCATTTAAACCTCATGACAACCCATGTCTTCATTTGGCAGAGAGAAAATGGGAAATTGAACCTACACAAGCTAACTTTTGGAGGCTATGTGTTTAACCACTACAACACATGACATCTCAAAGTTCTAAGTTTAAACCATCTGAGAAGGTATATCTCACTGCTCCACAAGATATTCTGATATAGAATCTTGGGGTCAGTCTGGAATCTGCCATTTTTAACAAAGTATTTGCATACACCTAAGAAAAAGAAACAATTCTGACACCAATGACACAATATATTATTGTGATGACTCTACCTCTTACTAATATGATGACCTCCAGCAAGTTTGTGTTGACTCCTCATAGCCTCTCTCTCCACATATATATATATGTGTGCATGTGTTTGTGTGTGTGTGCATATATATATATATATATATATATACTGCTATACAACTGATAAAGAAAGAACTTTTTAATAGCCTTGTTGTGAAATAAATCCTTGGTTGGTATGTGGCTATAGCTGCTTATCTAAACATGGCTGCCCTTGACATATAAATCTTGCTTACTTAAACCTTCTTTGAGGTACCATAATCATTTATTGCATTGAAAGACACCTCCCTAAAAAGATGAAATATGTGTTTGACATTTGCTAAAGATCAGTTTTTC